TGGTCCAGGTCATTAACAGATACCTATCAATACCATTGCGGACTCTTTCGGAATTGGACTACTCAACAGTGCATCGTTGGCCTGCCGATTTCAAGCTACAATCGCTCGATTCGTAATAAAATCCATGAGCTTGCGCAACACAAATTATCGATTGAGGCTACCTATAGACCGGCGAAGATCATGAAGCCGTTGTTTCTAAAGTATACTAATACACTGACCGCTTTTCTCTTTACAGGGAAATGGTTTGAAATGTATCTCCAGTGACAACAGCACAACTCTCGAGTACAATGACCATTTCCTTTATTAACTTCTGCAGGAGTTGTCCAGACGAAGAGGAAGAATAGTGTATCTATATCTATCTTCCTCTGTCAAAGGCCAGGCCTGTTGGGAGCCATTCCCTGAATGAGATGGCGAAACATTGCGAAGATCATGTGACCGTTGTACGACTCACGAAGTTCACAAGCCCAACATAAGTTTCCGAGAGGAAATCTACGGAACTTAATTGCAGTGATGACTGGCCTGTAGACCGACGAAGATCATGAAGCCGTCGTTTCTGAAGTATACTAATACGCTGACCGCTTTTCTCTTTACAGAGAAATGGTTCGAAGTGTATCTCCAGTGACAACAGCACAACTCTCGAGTACATTGATCATTTCCTTTATTAACTTCTGCAGGAGTTGTCGAAACTAAGAAGAAGAATAGAATATCTCTATCTGTCTTCCTGTGTCAAAGACCAGGTCAGCTGGGAGGCATTCCCTGAATGAGATGGTAAAACATTGCCTAAGATCATGTGACCGTTGTACGACTCACGAAGTTCACAAGCCCAACTTAAGTTTCCAAGAGGAAATCTACGGAACTTAATTGCAGTGATGACTGGCCTGTAGACCGGCGAAGATCATGAAGTCGTTGTTTCTGAAATATACTAATACGCTGACCGCTTTTCTTTTTACAGGGAAATAGTTTGAAATGTATCTCCAGTGACAACAGCACAACTCTCGAGTACATTGATCATTTCTTTATTAACTTCTGCAGGTGCCAGACATCTCCAAATGAAATGACGAAACATTCCACAGTAGGACTATACTGGATTGCTCCTCTCTAGCGATATAGCTAACCGACCTTCTCGTCGACCGACCGATATCAAGCTACAATCGCTCGATTCGTGATAAAATCCACGAGCTTGTGCAACACAGATTATCGATTGGGGCTTCCTGTTGACAGGCGAAGATCATGACGCCGTCGTTTCCGAAGTACATTAATACAATTTACAGGAAAATGGTTCGAAGTGTATCTCCAGTGACAACAGCACAACTCTCGAGTTCAATGACCATTTCGTTTATTAACTTCTGCAGGAGTTGTCGAGACGAAGAGGAAGAATAGAGTATCTCGATCTTCCTCTGTCAAAGCCCAGGCCTACTGGGAGCCATTCCCTGAATAAGATGGCGAAACATTGCGAAGATCATGTGACCGTCGTACAACTCACGAAGCCCAACTTAAGTTTCCGAGAGGAAATCTACGGAACTTAATTGCAGTGATGACTGGTATCCGAAACATAGACCCCTTAGTAATTACTTTGGATAGGAATCCTTAGTAATTAGGCCGAAGTGTATTAATACTCTGACAGCTTTTCCTTTTACAGGGATCAACGAAATGGGCCCAAGTGTGTAGCCAGTGATAACAGCACATGAATATTAGTGCCCCGAGGAACGGCCTTTTTAAAAATGTCATGTAGGGGCCTGTAGTACCCTACCAGCGATTGAAAATCTTGATCTCAGTTCAATAAGTTAAAAAAAATCTACAATATTTTGGAAATGGGTCTCAAAAACTTCCCAATTTTGAGCTGATTACAGGGAAAATAATAGAAAAGTACTTTTTTGTTAAAGTAACGAGTACTAAATATCCGAACCTATTACCCAACCCTGTTGCACTGATATTATTTATGATACAGTACAATTCTTGGAAGTCAGTTTTCTTGTATGTTTAATTTCTTCTTTTTTTTTTTTTTTTTTTTGCTCCCTCATTCATTATTTGCGCATTTTGTCTGGAATATATTTGTTCCATTAAAGGTTACATGTTTCGCTGATAAGATATTGCGGTGTATTAATTAATATTTTATTTACTACAATAGAAATAAACAACAAGAAGATATGTACAAAATTTTATAGGGAATGGAAATTTCTCAAAACTTCAGCATAAATAAATAATAAATAAATGTGAATGGAAAAATAAATGAAAATAAATTATGAATGAATGACAAAAAAAAAATAGAGGGAATGAATGAAATACTTAAAATTTGTTTAACCATAACATGACGTACAGGGTCTGTTTACCCTTCCCCCCGCCGCCCTCACCCACTACTCTGAAAAGTGTTTCAAAGTGTTTTGTACAGTAAAAATATACTAATTAGTATTGAAGGCATAAAGGTGTCAAGTAACTGGAAAGTTTTATTTTTGGTAACCGCAAATAAGAAATATTTTAAACAGCATGGAATAAGAAGGAAAAAAGACTAATCGTTATTTAAATATTTATGGTTGATGATGATGAGGTGGTGAGCAAGTACATATAATAACACAATTTTCAATAATTTTTATAAATTTAGAAATGACGCAGTTGGCGGTATTTCTACTTTTTATTCAGACTCTTAATCTTTGGCAGCTTTTTCTCTTTTTTTATGTTCTTAGTTTTGCAAAAAAAAAAATTAAGAAATATTAATAGAAAGAATGATTACAAAAAGATCATATGATACTCTACAACAGTTATTAATAGAAGTTGGCAGTCTTATGGAGCAATAATGGTCCGATCTTTATGGTGCCAATATTCAATATAATCGGGTCCAGAGATTCGGAAACATCCATTTAAACAACACACACAGTGATCGAAGGATCACATACTGAACCTTATGTAATGGACTATTAGGCAAATGTATCTAGTGACTCTCTCATCAGTATTGTTTATTATTTTCCAAAATATTTACAAAAAATACAAATCCATCTACGATCACTCTAATTGTGTAAATCGCTATTAATATCTTTAATTTACTAATATCTATTAGATACTACACTTCACAACAACAAAAACAAAACAAAAAAACTAATCATTTTCTTAATGCGTGATTTAATGATGATTATTGACGTCTATCTGTTCAAGATATATAATTTTTTTTTTAACATTTCACCGATCAACTAGCAAGTGTAACTCATAGATTTGTTTACTCTATAGTTTTTGTGAAAATAAACTACAAAATAAAAAAAAACTCAAGCCGAAAAACTAGTTTTAACTAAACTATTTAAATGTTAATTTTTTTTCTCCATTTCATATGAGTATTTATTTCGTAGAGTTTGTCATCACTTGTTTGAGATCTGTCATTATGTTGAATTATTTACGATCTTTTGAAATGTTGTTGAACTTTGTTATTTCTGAAATGAACAAGTTAAATGAAATTGAAAGAAGACATACAGTCTACGAATGATTTTAAAACTGGAATTGTGGTTTTGACTGAAAGGAGTATTTATAAAGGCATATGTTTCTTTATTACAGACACGATATGTAAATAGAGGACATCAGAAAATTGGTCACTTGGTCAAATAAAAAAAAAAATTAATAACTAAAACATATATCAATAGTTTTTGGTCTATTAACTAATACTGAACAGAAATAAAAAAGAACTGAATGAACTAGAACAGAACTAGAACGAACTCGAACTGAACTAGCACTGAACTAGAACTGAACTAGAACAGAAACTAGAACAGAACTAGAACAGAACTAGAACAGAACTAGAAAGAACTAGGAACAAACTAGACCAAGAACTAGGAACAGAACTAGAAACAAGAATAGAACATAAACAGAACAGAAACTAGAAACAGAACAGTAGACATAACAGAACAGAACTAGGAACAGAACTAGAACAGAACTAGAACAGCACAGAACAGAACTAGAAAACAGAACTAGACAGAACTAGAACAGAATGAACAGAACTAGAACAGAACTAGAAACAGAATTTAGAACCAGAACTAGAAAAAGAAAACTAACTAGAAACAGCCTAGGAACAGAACTAGAAACAGAACTAGAACAGGACTAGAACAGACTGACAGAACTAGAACAGAACTAGAACAGAACTAGAACAGAACTAGAACAGAACTAGAACAGAACTCAGAACAGACTAGAACAGAACTAGAAACAGAACTAGAAAGAACTAGAACAGAAACTAGAACAGGAGAACACTAGAAACAGAACTAGAAACAGAACTAGAATCAGAACTAGACAGAAACTCAGCAACAGAAACTAGAACAGAAACTAGAACAGAACTAGAACAGAACTAGAACAGAAACTAGAACAGGAACCTAGAACAGAACTAGAAACAGAACTAGAACAGACCTAGAACAGAACTAGAACACAGAACTAGAAACAGATACTAGAACAGAACTAGAACAGAACTAGAACAGGAACTGCAACAGACTAGAAATCAGCAACTAGAACAGACACTAGAACCAGAACCTATAACGAACTAGAAAACAGATCTACAACAGAAACTAGCACTGTAGCAGAACTTAACTAGAAATTAGCTATTATATTGTCTAGTCTGTGACCTACAAGTTCGAATCAAACACAAAACTTTTTCTGAAGTATTAAATATTAATGCAAAATTCTAAAATAATTACAAGTATTGCACATTTACTATAAGTATAAAATAAACAATATAAATTCAATAATCATCATTATCATCATCATTTAGTTATAACATACATTTGGTGTGTGTTTAACTAATAAGATTTGTTATCTTAAAAAACAAAACAAAAACATACAAATATATAAACACAGAACTGAGTTATAGATACAAATGCTAGAAACACAGATACTCTTTTAGCAGCACACTTACGTACACATATACATACATATTTTTGTGTATGTAGTTAGGTATACACATAGATACTTAAAGGTAAACAACAGGAATTTAATTACATTGTATGTAGTTGCAAGTTGACTTGTTTCTGTTGACTTACCCATCACACTCTTTTTTTCTGTATATTCGAGTGACTACCCAGCAGTTTTACGTGAAGGCAAAGTATACCCTTTAAGAATGAGTGTGACAAAATTCAGAATATTTTAAAGTTAACTCGTCGCATAAGAGTCCCAATTATCTCTTTAGGGTTTCTAAACAATAGGAATAGAAGAATATAATCTATTGTATGTTGTTTAGAATTAACTTCCCAAACTCAAGGGTATTCGTTCAGAGGATGTGCGCCATATGTATGAATGTACCAAGCAACTAAAAACAATGAACAGAAAAAACAACAACAAATAATTTGAAAACTTTAACTTTGTATCATCAGTAAACATCACTAACATCACCAAAAACATCAGCATCATACTGGTTTTAATTGCAACTAATTACAGTTTAATGTGTTTTTGCTGTTAAATTGAAGTGTCACATAAATTGTTTTGCACAAAAAAATAAATACACAAACATTTGTTAAATATTAAAACAAAATTTAAACACAAATTTGAAATTATTTACACATTTATTGTTTTAATTACTTATTTCAAATGTACAATGTTGTTTTTTTTAAGGAAATGCATTTATTTTGTCAATAATTATAATGACATTATTGTTTTAAAATGTGTTTTAAATACCCTACACCTTGTTAGTCGGTTTTATTAGTTGTTTTAGGTTTTAGAAACAATAATAAAAGAGAAGAATATAAATTAGTTTTTCTAGTCTTTACAGTGACGGGCAAAGGACACATATTTAATATCCTCTGCCCTTTCGAAAGATACAAAACGGACACCCACCGATTCTACTTAACAGTTTGCTCATAGTAAAGTATGAATACAGCTCAAGATCGCTGAACTAGAACTGAACTAAAATAGAACTAGAGCTGAACTAGAACTGAACTAGAACTGAACTAGAACTGAACTAGAACTGAACTAGAACTGAACTAGAACTGAACTAGAACTGAACTAGAACTGAACTAGAACTGAACTAGAACTGAACTAGAACTGAACTAGAACTGAACTAGAACTGAACTAGAACTGAACTAGAACTGAACTAGAACTGAACTAGAACTGAACTAGAACTGAACTAGAACTGAACTAGAACTGAACTAGAACTGAACTAGAACTGAACTAGAACTGAACTAGAACTGAACTAGAACTGAACTAGAACTGAACTAGAACTGAACTAGAACTGAACTAGAACTGAACTAGAACTGAACTAGAACTGAACTAGAACTGAACTAGAACTGAACTAGAACTGAACTAGAACTGAACTAGAACTGAACTAGAACTGAACTAGAACTGAAAGACTAGAACTGAACTAGAACTGAACTAGAACTGAACTAGAACTGAACTAGAACTGAACTAGAACTGAACTAGAACTGAACTAGAACTGAACTAGAACTGAACTAGAACTGAACTAGAACTGAACTAGAACTGAACTAGAACTGAACTAGAACTGAACTAGAACTGAACTAGAACTGAACTAGAACTGAACTAGAACTGAACTAGAACTGAACTAGAACTGAACTAGAACTGAACTAGAACTGAACTAGAACTGAACTAGAACTGAACTAGAACTGAACTAGAACTGAACTAGAACTGAACTAGAACTGAACTAGAACTGAACTAGAACTGAACTAGAACTGAACTAGAACTGAACTAGAACTGAACTAGAATGAACTAGAACTGAACTAGAACTGAACTAGAACTGAACTAGAACTGAACTAGAACTGAACTAGAACTGAACTAGAACTGAACTAGAACTGAACTAGAACTGATAGAACTGAACTAGAACTGAACTAGAACTGAACTAGAACTGAACTAGAACTGAACTAGAACTGAACTAGAACTGAACTAGAACTGAACTAGAACTACTAGAACTGAAGAACTGAACTAGAACTGAACTAGAACTGAACTAGAACTGAACTAGAACTGAACTAGAACTGAACTAGAACTGAACTAGAACTGAACTAGAACTGAACTAGAACTGAACTAGAACTGAACTAGAACTGAACTAGAACTGAACTAGAACTGAACTAGAACTGAACTAGAACTGAACTAGAACTGAACTAGAACTGAACTAGAACTGAACTAGAACTGAACTAGAACTGAACTAGAACTGAACTAGAACTGAACTAGAACTGAACTAGAACTGAACTAGAACTGAACTAGAACTGAACTAGAACTGAACTAGAACTGAACTAGAAACGAACTAGAACTGAACTAGAAACTGAACTAGAACTGAACTAGAACTGAACTAGAACTGAACTAGAACTGAACTAGAACTGAACTAGAACTGAACTAGAACTGAACTAGAACTGAACTAGAACTGAACTAGAACTGAACTAGAACTGAACTAGAACTGAACTAGAACTGAACTAGAACTGAACTAGAACTGAACTAGAACTGAACTAGAACTGAACTAGAACTGAACTAGAACTGAACTAGAACTGAACTAGAACTGAACTAGAACTGAACTAGAACTGAACTAGAACTGAACTAGAACTGAACTAGAACTGAACTAGAACTGAACTAGAACTGAACTAGAACTGAACTAGAACTGAACTAGAACTGAACTAGAACTGAACTAGAACTGAACTAGAACTGAACTAGAACTGAACTAGAACTGAACTAGAACTAGAACTGAACTAGAACTGAACTAGAACTGAACTAGAACTGAACTAGAACTGAACTAGAACTGAACTAGAACTGAACTAGAACTGAACTAGAACTGAACTAGAACTGAACTAGAACTGAACTAGAACTGAACTAGAACTGAACTAGAACTGAACTAGAACTGAACTAGAACTGAACTAGAACTGAACTAGAACTGAACTAGAACTGAACTAGAACTGAACTAGAACTGAACTAGAACTGAACTAGAACTGAACTAGAACTGAACTAGAACTGAACTAGAACTGAACTAGAACTGAACTAGAACTGAACTAGAACTGAACTAGAACTGAACTAGAACTGAACTAGAACTGAACTAGAACTGAACTAGACTGAACTAGAACTGAACTAGAACTGAACTAGAACTGAACTAGAACTGAACTAGAACTGAACTAGAACTGAACTAGAACTGAACTAGAACTGAACTAGAACTGAACTAGAACTGAACTAGAACTGAACTAGAACTGAACTAGAACTGAACTAGAACTGAACTAGAACTGAACTAGAACTGAACTAGAACTGAACTAGAACTGAACTAGAACTGAACTAGAACTGAACTAGAACTGAACTAGAACTGAACTAGAACTGAAACTAGACTGAACTAGAACTGAACTAGAACTGAACTAGAACTGAACTAGAACTGAACTAGAACTGAACTAGAACTGAACTAGAACTGAACTAGAACTGAACTAGAACTTGAACTAGAACTGAACTAGAACTGAACTAGAACTGAACTAGAACTGAACTAGAAATGAACTAAACTGAACTAGAACTGAACTAGAACTGAACTAGAACTGAACTAGAACTGAACTAGAACTGAACTAGAACTGAACTAGAACTGAACTAGAACTGAACTAGAACCTGAACTAGAACTGAACTAGAACTGAACTAGAAACTGAACTAGAACTGAACTAGAACTGAACTAGACTGAACTAGAACTGAACTAGAACTGAACTAGAACTGAACTAGAACTGAACTAGAACTGAACTAGAACTGACTAGAACCTAGAACTGAACTGAACTAGAACTGAACTAGAATGAACTAGAACTGAACTAGAACTGAACTAGAACTGAACTAGAACTGAACTAGAACTGAACTAGAACTGAACTAGAACGAACTAGAACTGGAACTAGAACTGAACTAGAACTGAACTAGAACTGAACTAGAACTGAACTAGAACTGAACTAGAACTGAACTAGAACTGAACTAGAACTGAACTAGAACTGAACTAGAACTGAACTAGAACTGAACTAGAACTACTGAACTAGAACTGAACTAGAACTGAACTAGAACTGAACTAGAACTGAACTAGAACTGAACTAGAACTGAACTAGAACTGAACTAGAACTGAACTAGAACTGAACTAGAACTGAACTAGAACTGAACTAGAACTGAACTAGAACTGAACTAGAACTGAACTAGAACTGAACTAGAACTGAACTAGAACTGAACTAGAACTGAACTAGAACTGAACTAGAACTGAACTAGAACTGAACTAGAACTGAACTAGAACTGAACTAGAACTGAACTAGAACTGAACTAGAACTGAACTAGAACTGAACTAGAACTAAACTAGAACTGAAAGATTATAAAATTTACTCTTCATCGAGGAACCAAGTCAGTTTTTATCATTAATTCACCATTTTTTCGTTTGCATGTGATTACACAAAATTTAAATTATTTCTCATATTTTCCATTAACATAAGAAATAATAAAATTCATATTTTTTGTAAACATACTACTTATTTGGTTAATACTAGTATGAAAGTAGTGGCGGTGTTGCTATTTTCTTATGTTAATCCATTCATTATAAGCACGCGTTATTTTTTCTAAAATGATATTTCAATTGAATCGAGTTTTGTGTTTCTATTTGTTCGCATTAAATATTGACTCGCGGTATGAATTGTTACTTTGCTGCTATTAAGCACAAATTTGCATAAATAATCATACATTAAAGTTAAAATTTAGAAAATGCTAACAAAGTAACCCAGTCAAAATTTGAATGTATAACATAAAAATTGAAGAAATTTCTAAATAATTGTCATCGATTGTAAAGATGTTTTCGTAATTGTAATTATGGGACTGAATTAGTTTCTTAAATATCAAATGTTAACATCAGGGTAATTAACCTTTCTGCTAAAAAAATTATAAATTCTCCATAAAATAATTAAACATAGAAAAAACACCTGATTGACTTTCTTTTTGAAAAAAATCACGTTTTTAATTTGTTTTATTAAAAAACTGCATGTTTTGTAAAATTATTACCCTTTTTAAAAAAAAGTGTTTTACTGACCATGTGCATTTTTTGTGTTCGAGAACAACTCCGAAGTATTTACACAGACGTGTTAATTAATAAAGAGCTTGATACCTGCACGACCGGTAAATGACACTTTCAGTAATTCTTTTCATAAACCACCTCCCAACCCTTGAAACGAAGTAGAATGATTTACAAATAAGTGTAGATTCTGGTAATAAAACAACAAAATAAATTTTATACAAAATAAATAATAACAAACAATAAAGTACAGGTGTTTTAAAGAAAATCATTCAGAGTTAAACAAGATCGATAAAATGCAAAGATCGATTTTAGAAAAAGAGATTATTTTCTTTTTTAGAGATTATTTAAGAGATTACAACATTTTATATAGAAAATTCAAGAGATTTCGTAATTTTTTAACAGGAGTTTTAAGAGATCACAAAATGTTCCATCGAAAGAGAGAGATCGCAATATTTTCCATCGAAAAATAAAGAGATCGGAAAATTTTTTATAGAAAATTGAAAAGATCGGAAAATTTTCTATGGATACTTAAAGAGATCGGAAAAATTTCTATAGACAATTAGAGAGATCGTTAAATTTTTTTAAAAAATTTAAAGAGATCGCAAGATTTCTTATAGAAAATTAAAGAGATCGCAAGATTTTCTAGAGAAAATTAAAGAGATTGCAAGATTTTCTAGAGAAAATTAAGGAGATTGCAAGATTTTCTATAGAAAATTAAAGAGATCGCAAGATTTTCTACAGAAAATAAAAGAGATCGCAAGATTTTCTATAAAAAATTAAAGAGATCGCAAGATTTTCTATTGAAAATAAAAGAGATCGCAAGATTTTCTACAGAAAATTAAAGAGATCGCAAGATTTTCAAGAGAAAGTTAAAGAGATCGCAGGATTTCCACAGAAAATGAAAGATTAAATTAAAGAGATCGCAAAATTTTCTATAGAAAACTAAAGAAATCGCAAGATTTTCTATAAAAAATTAAAAAGATCGCAAGATTTCCTATAGAAAATTAAAGAGATCGCAAGATATTCTATAAAAAATTAAAGAGATCGCAAAATTTTCTATAGAAAATAGTACAGATCGCAAGATTTTCTTCAGAAAATTAAAGAGATCGCAAAATTTTCTATAGAAAATAGTAGAGATCGCAAAATTTTCTATAGAAAATAGAGATCGCAAGATTTTCTACAGAAAATAGTGGAGATCGCAAGATTTTATATAAAAAATTACAGAGATCGCAAGATTTTCTATAAAAAATTAAAGAGATCGCAAGATTTTCTATAAAAAATTAAAGAGATCGCAAGCTTTTCTTTAGAAAATTAAAGAGATCGCCAAATTTTCTACAGAAAATTCAAGAGATCGGAAAAATTTTCTATAGAAAATAAAAGAGAAAAACTTACTATCTTGAGAAAATATAAGAGATCGTGGAATCTAAAACATATAATTACCTTTGGAGTCAAATTGTCTATATTAAAGTCATATTATTAGCACGTTCACATATATATCAACAATCTATCTTATCTCTTAAATATTTTCACAACACTAGCCACTTGAGAAATTCTCAAATCAAACAATTTAAACATTTAGATTATTGACACAATCACCATATATTGTAATTAGTAGTAAATTTTGCCAATTACAACAAAAACCAAAACATATAATACAAAAAAAAATCTTATCATTTGTAATTTATAAACAAAAATGTGTTCTAATACCCTTTAAACAAAAACTAATTAAATTGTATTTAAACGGAAAAAATTTCAAAACACAACAAAAATCTCTGTGACACATGATTTTGATAAAGATCATGATATAAACGTTTTTTTTTTTTTTTTTTGTTTTGTTTATTTTTTACAAAAAAATGTGAAAAATATATAAAAATACAGTAGACATCAGTTATATTGCCGTAAATTTCAATAAAAATCAATTAAAGAGTGACAAACGAGCGTTGATATGGAAAACATTTTTGGGGTGAAATAATTTCATATAAAGGGGAGGTAAAATTAAAGAGATCGCAAGATCGAAATTTAAAATTGAGTGAAATTTGTAAGATATTTTACAAATCCAATATTGTTTTTTTTTTTCATAAATTCAAAAGATCGTTAAACTGTTTTCTTCTAATTTCAAGAGATTACAAAATTTTCTATAGAAAATATAAGAGATCACAAATTTTTCTATAGAAAATGAAAGAGATCGCAACATTTCCTATAGTAATTGTAAGAGATCGCAAAATTTTCTATAGAAAGTGAAACCGGTTGCAAAATTTTCTATAGAAAATTTAAAAAATGGCAAGATTTTTTATAGAAAATTAAAGAGATCGCAAGATTTTCTATAGAAAAATAAGGAGATCGCAAGATTTTTTATAGAAAATTAAGAGATCGCAAGATTCGCTAGATTTTTTATAAAAAATTAAAAGATCGCAAGATGCTCTACAAAAAATTAAGGAAATTGCAGGATTTTTTTACAGAAAATTAAAGAGATCGCTAGATTTTCTATAGAAAATTGAAGAGATCGCAAGATTCTCTACAAAAAATTAAGGTGATCGGTGGATTTTTATAGAAAATTAGAGAGATCTCAAGATTTTCGATAGAAAATCAAAGATACCGTAAGATTTTAAAAAACAATTAAGATTTTCTACAAAAAAAAAAAAATAAGAGATCGCAATTTTTTTTTTATAGAAAAATAAAAGATTGGAAGATTTTCTATAGAAAATTAAAAATATCCCATGATTTTCTATAGAAAATTAAGAGACCGAAAAATTTTTTTAAATAGAAAATTAAAAGATCGCAAGATTTTCTATACAAAATTGAGAGATCGCAAGATTTTCTATAGAAAATTGAGAGATCGCAATATTTTCTATAGAAAATTATAGAGATCTCAAGATTCTCTACAGAAAGTTAAGAAGACCGCAAGATTTTCTATAGAAAATTAAGAGATCGAAAGATTTTCTATAGAAAATTAAGAGATCGCAAGATTTTCTATAGAAAAGTAAGAGATCGCAAGATTTTTTATAGAAAATTAAAGAGATCGCAAGATTCTCTACAGAAAATTAAGGAAATCGCAGGATTTTTTATAGAAAATTAGAGAGATCTTAAGATTTTCTACAGAAAATTAAAGAGATCGCAAATTTTCTATAGAAAATGAAAGAGAAAATCGCCAAATTTTGTACAAAAAATGAAAGAGAAATCTTAATAATAGTGGTGTAGGGTATATAAAAAAGTAAATAACAAAAAAATTACCTTTCGATCTTTATTGTTGTTAAATATCTTTAAAGCAAAAAATATTTCTTTTTTTTTGTTGACAAAAAAAAATGCTAAACACGTTTTAAACACACAAACAAATTTAATGCACTATATTTTTTCCTTTCTTTTTATATTATTTGCTTCAACAAAATTTTCGTGGGTGTAACAAATAAACCTTATTTTTTTTTTGTGGTTGGAAAAATTTCTTTAACTTTTTAAGGTAATACTTTTTAACGTTTTCCACAAAATAGTTTAAGACTTTAACACTTTAATAAAACACTAAATAAGTTGTAAATTGAATTTGTTTGTTTTAAAACAATTGACCCGACTTTAGTTACAAAGAAAAAGGGAGACAAAATGTTTACACTCACAAAAAAAATATGTGTAAAAGTAAAAGAAAGAGAACAGATATGATGGCTTTGTTACTCTTTTTGTAGTTGTGGGTTTTTAGCAAATTTGGGAAGTTCTTACTCCTCCTGCTGCTGTTTTCTTTATTTTATCTTATTTTAGGTTTTTATTTCGTATTACGAATTGAAAACAAAATAAAATACAAGAAAAAATATTTAAAGGAATTTTTTTTTGTTTTCTTCTTTTTTGGCAAAATTCTCACTTTTTTTTTAAACACGTATTATTGTGGAGTTTTTTTTTCTTAATTGAATTTTTAAAACATTTTTTAAGAAATTTAAAAAAAATTATTTTATTTTTTTTTTATTTCTTGTTGTTGTTTGATTTTAAACAAAAGATTATCGCTAACACCACCACTACTACTAACTACTTCTTGGTGTATTCGATTTAATATATAATTTTTTATTTTTTTTTTGTATTTCTTTCTTATTTTTCGCTTTAGATTATTTCTGGATTTTTATTTTATTTCTTTTTCAAAGCTTTTTTTCTTAAAAATTTTATTTATTTCTTTTAAAATTTGTTTTATTTTATTTGAACACGTTTACGTTAATTTTTTATTTTGTTTTATTAAATTTCTTAAAGAATTCACTCAAATTAATAATAATTTGTTTTTGCTATAATTCTTTAAATAAAGATTTCTTCATTTATTGCATGATTTATACACTCAAAAAATTAACGTCAGTTCTTAGGAACCAAAAAAAAATCGTAATAAAAAATACAAATCTCCACCTGAACGCGACGAATTCTGTGAGTAAACTGATCAATTTTGTTTTGTATTGAACACATATAAACAACAAAAAAAAAAACACCACTAGCAGCCAGCGAAATCAAGCAGAAACAAAACGAGCTTTGCTCTTTCTCTCTCTTTTCCTACAAAGAAATTCTCTTTAATTTTAATTGGTTATTAAGAGTGTTCTAATTAAAAATGTTTTTGTTTCAAATTTTTTTTTAACCGTCCGTCTGTCGTGTCTTCAAAAGGTCTTTTCTATATAAACAACAACAATTCTATATCTTGTTTTTTTTGTTTTGTTTTATTTAGTCTTATGATAAATTACCACTAATTTAATGCTACTTTTTTTGTGGGCTATTTCTTATCGTATATTGTTATAGTCTAAACATCATACTCTGCGTTAGCAGCTACACAGTGTGTGGTATTTTGAATGATTACAAATAAAAACAATTTAATTTAAAATTTGAAAAAACCCCAACTTTAATTAGATTTTTGTGGTTTAAACTAGAAGAAGTATAGAAAAAAGGTTAATGGCCTGATAGGCCAGGAACAATAGGAACAAAGAACTAAAACTTGGTTTAACCTAGTTCTGTCAAAGTCATACCAGAGTTGAGGTTTTCCACTAAATATAATTAGTATATGGCAAGTGCTAAAATATACATTAACTAGCGATGTATACCCAATGTGCTTTGCTATTTAAAGATTCTAGCTCTAACAGTTTCCCAGATATACGGATTTTTGTATTTAATTCATATGGCAGTTGCAAAGCCGGCCTAATGAAAGTCCCACCATTTTTCTATCAAATCTTCACATGGCTGTTAAAGTTCTTCGTATAAAATTTTTAAATTCTAATTCCAATTATTCCCAAGATAAACGTATTACAAAATACATATGGGAAGAGCCACGCCCTCTATTGCAAGTCAGCCCATTTTTTGTTCCGTACATTCATGTCGCTACTAAAGTGCCTTGGAAAAAAATGAGTACTCTAGCTATAATATTTTCTTAGATATAACTTTTCTCTATATGAGAAATGCCACGCCCACAGTAGCTAAGCTGCCTATTTCAGGGTCATATAGTCATATGGTTGTCAAAGTTGGAGTTTCTCATATAAGCGAATTTTAACACTTATTTTGTAAGTGGGCGTGGCACATAGCCCAGTTGAAATGTTGAAGGAAAAAGAAGCCTATAGAAGCCTTCAAGACATACAGAAAGACACTGTTAAAATTCAGAATAATCGGTGCTTTATACTTTATACTTTACCTTCTACTTTATACTTTATACTTTATACTTATACTTATACTTTATACTTTATACTTTATACTTTATACTTTATACTTTATACTTTATACTTATACTTTATACTTTATACTTTATACTTTATACTTTATACTTTATACTTTATACTTTATACTTATACTTTATACTTTATACTTTATACTTTATACTTTATACATTATACTTTATACTTTATACTTTATACTTTATTCTTTATACTTTATTACTTTATATTTTATACTTTATACTTTATACTTTATACTTTATACTTTATAATTTATACTTTATACTTATACTTTATAATTTATACTTTATACTTTATACTTTATAATTTATACTTTATACTTTATACTTTATACTTTATACCTTATACTTTATACTTTATACTTTTTCCTACTGGGTCCATGTATTTTCTCCAACATCACCTTTCGAGTTAAGGAAGTTTGTTGCAATTTGCTCAATTCTACTTCCTATAAACATTTATGTACTTTTTATCACATTCACAAATAAAAAGAGAGTAAAATCCAATGTCTCTTAATCTCAGAAACAAATGAGAGAGAATCAAGTGGAAGAAGAAACAAAAACAAAGTGTAATTTAATAAACTTAAGACTAATACATACTTCTAAAGAATTTTGTTATCAAAAAATAGTGTGTTGTGTTTTTCTTGTTTTGCAATTTTAGTTCAAGATTTACAAAACAATTAAATTGTGTAAATTTTGCAATAAAATAAAATTATTTGTATTAAGCTCAAATGATTAAAACGAATAACATAAACAAAGAAAAATAGAGAAAAACAGAACTATTGGGATGCAATTTTGAAGTACCCTAATAGTACTTTAATATATTTTTAGTACCAAATTTGAAAATCTGATAAATAGCTGAAAAAGAGAAGTTTTCTCTATCCCCAGGAAACCAATCAGGTGACTAGTTCTTTGTTAGTTTCCCAAACCATGATCACAACAAAAGATTTACTTTTAATTCGTTGTTCTTGATTAAAGAAAAAGCAAATTACCCCATTTAGTAAATCAAAGACACACAAAAGAACAGTTTTGCGCGATTCTTAAATTAAAATCAAGTATAAAATTTAAATAATAATAAAAAACACCCACTTAACTAAAGAATCATATGAAAAGAATTTTTTTAATTTAAATTTTTTTCGTTTTTTCGTGTTGGCGAAAAAAATAAAATTTTCATTCTATGTAAATTTTACAAGTTCAAGGTTTTTTATTTGAATTCTATACAGTCTTTATAGACCAAACAGGTCTAGGCGATTTATGTACGTCACTGTTAAAAGGAAACAAAAGTGAGAGAAATGCTAAAAGAATGAGTAGAATTATGCCAAAAAGATTTTTTTAAATGTGACAATTAATTAAATTTACTCTTTTATTAAATAG